GGTAATGAGAGCTTCCATTTCATTTTTTGAAATTGGGGCGTTGCCAATACTGATCTTTACCTTTAAGGTAATGATTATATTTATGCAGAAAAACTAAAATACTTTTGACAATGCGATTATTTCAAGTCGCCCTTTTTAGGTTATTATGCTGCAACATGACCAATCAAAGTTTGGTCCAGTTAACGCTTGTTGGTTGGTGGTTTTTTTAAAGTTTATTTGTCCAATTAACTTCTTTATCTTCTCCATGTTTCCTTTCCATGTTTCCTTTCCATCTTTCCTTTCCATCTTTCCTCATGTTTTTCACTATTATCACCTTTGTTCTATATACCTTTCGGCTGATATTATTCTTTATTTTTCTCCTTTCAACATCTCTTTTCTAATTTTCGTTATATATTTCTTTATTTTCTCCTAATTTTATCTTCTTTAGCCATCTTTCCTTATGCCCTTCTTTATTTTCTCCGTCTTTCTAATTTTCATCTTTCCTTATGTATCCCTCTATTTTCACCTTGTTTTATTCTCTCTATCTTTTCTCATGTATTTCTTTATGTCTAACCTTCATTATCTTCTGTTTCCATCTTTCCCTGTGTATTTCTTTATAAACCTTCTTTTATCTTCCTTTTCCATCTTTCCTTATGTTATTCTTTATTTTCTCCTAATTTTATCTTTTTCATCTTTCCTTATGTATTCCTCTATTTTCACCTTGTTTTATTCTCTCTATCTTTTCTCATGTATTTCTTTTTTTTTCAAACCTTCTTTATCTTCTGTTTCCATCTTTCCTTATGTATTTCTTTTTAAACTTTTTATCTTCCTTTTCCATCTTTCCTTATGCTATATTCTTTATTTTCTCTTCCTTCTTTCCCTCCATTTCCATCTTTCCTTATTATCACCCGGTTTTCCCTATTTTATCCTCCCTTTATATTTTCCTTCTGCATTTTTCCATTGCCAAGCACATCAATGTTCTCTTCTATACGTAAAAGAAACTTAAATAGCTAGTACTTGCTAAAAAAAAACAATATGAAGTGAGACTTTAGACACACTGAATCCAGGCCTATTATAAATATAGGTGTAGGGTCTGCGTTGAGAAGACTATGAATCTGGACTGGATATCAGATACCAGCTGGTAATCCCTTTATCAGTAACTAGGCTATGATTGACCACTGTCTCTCTCCCCATGGACCCTACTGGTAATCCCTTTATCAGTGGTCAGTGCTCCTATCAGATTATGGTAGCTCCAGGAAAAGTGGTGAACTGGTGAGCAGAGCTCAAATGAGATGTTTTCCTAATGTCTTTTCTCTGCACAAGAGCTATATAATGTTACCTCTCACAACCATGGCAGGTTTGATATGATTTTTTTAGACGTAAATAAGACTTGAATTATCATTTCAGAGATTAACCCTACACAAATGGTTTGCGATTGCTCTGTGCATCTGAAATTGTTATTCTGCATGTGTTTCAAACAATGATCTGTTTGGATTCCAACAAAGATCAGCACCGGTGACTTTGATAATAATACCTATTTTTTAAATAAATTGGAAACAACATATATGTATACCAACAAGAAATTTGTTACCGAACCCAAGAGAAAATAGAAAAATATGACAATTAATGCCCATCGTAAAATTGCAGTGTATGACTCTGCTTGCTTGTCAAATCTGGTCACAGTGTTTAAAGCAGTATTCCAAATGCTTGATTAGAGAGATCGAGGCAGCTAGATTTCAAATACTTTCTTATTCTGAGGATAGAATACTGTACAAGGGCCCTAAGATGAATTGGAAGCTTTATTGTCAGGACAACCAGATGTGTAATCTAGCTTGTTTGAACCAGCCCTTTCATGTCTAAACAGTTAGACTCAGGGGATAAAGATTGCAGCTTCTCAGTTTCTCAGTCTGTAATTCAATGAAATCTTACAAGGGTCTAGCCATATTAGATAGGCCTGACTGCCCTGGATTTGTTTGCTATTGTGTTTTTAACAGCACAAAACGCTCCTTGTGTTTGTTGGACTTTTTCGTCTTCTTGGACTTGTATAGAGTTAGACCCACTTGTTGGCTTAAGTACCAGAAAACCCATGTCTCATTGGGTCTAAAGTCTATCTACAAGAATGTTAGTAGTTCTTTATAGTGTTTGTAGGGATTGTAGATTGCAATGCTGGTGTGTATAGTCACAACAGTATAACTACACATGTCATCATCATATTGGATTTGTAATTGGAGTACTCCAGAGAATTGCAACAGTTAGTTTAGTATTTTTTCGAGAGAGGAATTATATCTTTCACATTCACAAGTGAGTATGCATGTGTGTATTATCCAATAGTGAGACCACAGTATATTTTGTGTAAATTAGAATATTATTTTTGCAAGCATATATCATTATATGCATATTTGTAGTGTCTACAAATATTTGATTTGATTATACATACCAGTATATGTGCTTCGAGTAAAGTTGAACCTACCAGTTCCAGCCAATAAAATTTGTTTATTAATAAATTAAAACACTCGACATAGATGTGCCTTTCAACTGAAGACCAAGCTTAATTAATTTGGATCCAGTGAACAGATAGCAATGGTATTTATTAAAGTGTTTCCAATGATTATTAATGATATTACCATGCATGCCTGCATCAAAGTCATTGAAAATGTTGATATACAGTGTAGAATATATATACATCTACTCACTGGAGACCATATGTGAATGTATGTGTATTGCATGATTTGATGACAATTTAAATTGCTCAGGAATCTGATAAGTGTATATAATCAATACATGGGCAAATCAAAAGAAGATTACGGAGAATTCTTTGAAGTTTGTGCTTGAAATTAGACAATAAAGCCTCCACTGGCATTGTTATGTGTTATGGCTGGCTTGGCTGGCTTTGCTGCGGTCCCACCACAGGTCTTGATGATCGATGCAGCAGGAGCGTCCGTTGACATTGTTATTTGCTACGCTTCATTTGAGTCAGAAATCAATATCACAGTTGACTTCTTCTATTAGTGATGGACTTCCTATTCATGCTCTTTACTAGATATATATGCATGTACTTCATATTGATGGAGCAGGCTGCATATGGTACATATATGGTTAGAATAGCTCATTATGTGATTTGGACATTTGCCTCGCCATACATGTAACTCAGTTTTCCAGCAGTGGTATGTACATGCAAATTCGATATCTTTATTATAGATGCTGATGGAGCAATTTAGTGTATTATACAATGGGAGTTACTGTGTATATTAGATTTAAATGAGAGATTTCACAAATATATATAGCATACAGCTAGCTTCCATGTTCACTATATACTGTACATGCATGACACGTGCGTCATGAAACTGTCTGAATTGTTTGACATATATATCTGATGACAGTTCAGTTGAATTCTATCATTGATTTTAGAATTCCGAGTCAGAAACCAGTTTGTATATTAAATTTACTTTCCATTAATTCAGACTGCATGAAACCATCTAGTTCTTCACATGTGTACACAATGTAATGGTGCAGCATATACTTTTTGTGTGGTAGCCGAAAGAGATCATCCTTTCCTAATGAATTGATTATATTCTTGTAGTAAATCATAGTACATGTACAATTGGTATTGGACCAAGGTATTTAGAGAAAAAAATACAGTTATACCTGTAGCTGCTTTAAAGGTAAAGACCAGATTCGGAAACGCCCCCCTCTCAAAAAATGAAATGGAAGCTCTATACCAATCATGTGAAAGAATATGTTTTGACTAATACGTGATCATCAAATTTTGCCAAGAAACTGCCTACTAATTGATATATTTGGTAAATTATTATATCTATTTGGACCTGATAGATATAACGCGCGTGCATGTGCGTAGTCCAATATACATCTTTCTGCATGTGTACAGTGCTTGTAACTTTACCAAGCCTGGGCCAAATTTCTTATCATTTTGATGATTCCAGAACCTTGCAGCTAGTACACACCAATACTTATATGCTAGATGATCAACTTTTTCTGATCGATTACACAACGTTTCTTTTACAATGCGATCGCATGACCATAACTGGTCTTTATCTTTAAAATGAATATTCTCAAAGGTGTTCTTTCTTTGTCATGAGATAACATTTTTCTAGGCTTTTTTTCTCTCTAATTGAATGTAGCAAAATATACGGACAGGAGCTGCATTTACATAGCAAGCAAAAATCATTGATTTTTCTCACATTCCAATGCTTTAAGCAAAAGAATGAAACAGAAAAATCCACCTCTGGAGTGTGCTTTTTGTTAAATGCCAGCAGAAATTTTACTGATTTTTTTTTGCAGTGTACATATATATATATATATGTCCGCGATCTCAAAACATTGGTAAAAGATTCCTGCTTTTGGTCATGTGACTCGATCTCCTTGCTTCCGTGAGATTGCAATTTGCATGTAGAGCAGCAACAATTAGGCATTATTTACGCATTATTATACTTCCCAAACAGATTGGATCGAGCAAACACTGATGTTTTTAATGGAGTTTTCCTGTATCGTAAATGGCAGTCCAAAATTCAATGATTTTTCAAAATGGCGTTGGGCTGTGTAAATGGGCCTAGAATGTATGTAACAGTCCCAAATCCAAATGGCAATCTATACCTGTTTGACAAGACACAATAGAAGATTATGCAGTTGACATGTGTGTGATTAACACATGGAGGTAAATTCAGCATGGCAGCTCTTCTAGCCCAGATATTAATTGCTACCAAGCTTTTTTATATTCTACGGTATTTGGTGTTGAGCTAACACACTTTAATTTAATAATGTATGGAACATATCTTACAAACCATATCCCTCCCCTCTCTCTCTCTCTCTCTCTCTCTCTCCCTTTCTCTCTATTTCGCGCTCTCTCTCTCTCTCTCTTAATTCCCCTAATTCCCCCTTTCTCTCCCCCTTCCCCCTCTCTCTCTCTTGCTTCCTCCCCTTTTCCCTATATCTTTTCTACTCCCTCTCCTTTCCAATGTATTTCATCTTCTTGTTCCCATCTTTCCATGTGTTTGCCAATCCAGGTGAAGGAGCTCACAGAGAGCTTGGATACTGAGAGGAAACGGCGATCATCCTATGAAGGCACAATCATCAAGTTAAAACACCTGTTGGATACAAATCGCAAAACCATCTCCACGATCGAGGTAATGAAGCATATATTTTATGACACATTTCAATTAAGCGCCGTATTTTTGAACAGGAATGATAGCTATAGTGCTGGACAACATGCAGTGTACAGATGTGTTCTTGAAAATCAATCAATAAGGCTTCATAACGATCTTGATAATTGAAATCACTGAGGCTTAAAGGCCGGACCAGACTCTTGAGAAATATAATTACACAACCCAAAACTTAACCTGCCATTCTTTAATTGGACTATGAAGAATAGAATGAAAATCATGCATGTGAGTCTGCATTGACTATAGTCTATGCACAAGTCATGTTTACATTCATAGAGAATGTATTTCAACTTAAATATATCTTTATGAAATTAAACTGAGAAGCTCTTAATTTTAATATATAGAGAATGGCAGGAGGACACCCTAAATTACAGAGCAAAATAGTTATAGGTGAATAGTACCCTTTGATATTAAACCATCACAGTTTGAGAAATGACAGTTGAGTTACAGGGGAACTATACACGATATCATGCAAAATGAAATGCTTGATTTTATGTAACAGAAAGAAAAAAACTCTTATTAAAAAGCAATAGTAGCCTAAAGATGTATATGTACATGTGCATCTATTTTCTTAACAAATTCATAAGATTTTGACTGTACAGTGGGGCAGTGTGTGTGTTAAAAAAGACATAATGTGCTTGTTATACATGTATTAATTTTCCCATTTATGCTCTTCTAAAAGGAAAAGAAATAATTGGTTTATGTATCTTTCATTGAGGAATATAGTCATTGAGAAATAAAGATTTGTAATTTTTGCATCAAATTCTCATGTGTGCCCTCACCATAGAGATGGTGAACAAGTGTCTCCTGTTTGTTATTGTCCCTACTGTCATGCATGTATGATAGAACTGTTTTGTTTGTGACTAATTTGGTGCCTTCTACCAAGTTGATAATAATCTTGTCCAACTTGGATACCACAACAGGTTGCCAAAACAAACAATGTAACCTGTCTGTATTAAAGCAGGGAACTTCTCAGGAAACATTTCTGTCACAAACCTACATTTACATAATATGCAGGATAAATTGGTTTAAAAATTATCTAAAATAACGCTAAATAGCTTCAGTAGTATGGACTGGAAGGAAATGGTAAAGAAATATCTTATCTTGAATATTTCCAAGTTCCAATCTGCTGAAAAACTAAGCATCTAAACTTGATAAATACACTGTGAATATGTGCGTACTCCACTTAAGATGATGTTATCAAGTCCGATAGCTAGTTTTTAGGTCAGCAACTGCCAATTTTCAAAGCTTTATATTTTTAGTTTTCAGAGAGCTGTTACTCCTGACTGACACTAAGATAGTATATAGTGGATATTATTGTAATCTATGGCTTTTAATTTTCTGTTGATCTATAATTCTTCTATTTCATGTTTTTTCTTCCGACTGGGTCTTAAACAGAAATCTTTGCATGATTTTCCTTTTACTTTGCTGTACAGGAGGAGAAGGAAGCATTGAATGTTGAGAAGAAATCTTTGGAACAGAAGTTTGAGCTACTGAGGAAGGATGTGCAGGAATTCAAGGCTCATGAAAAACAAACAGTGACAAAACCAGTAAGTCTATTACATGTATATCATCTTTAGGAGAATGCTATGAGCTTGAAATGTTTACTCTGGCTAAGTTTTTTAAAAGATCGACAATCTTATTGACAGTTGTGTTTGTCTTGTTTATAAAACATTTTAGAAATTCAATCTCTCTCAAACTCCAGAAGAAGATGGAAAGGCTCCATGTTTAATATCCATGCTATTTTCCACAAACTTTTGTAGGAGCCAACGTCTACTGGAGATCTAAGTTCCTTCAATCTCCAAGAAGAGATTAAGAGACTTCAGAAGCAGAACAAGACGTGTGTGAGTCGCCTTGAAGAGACCATGATATCTCTAGAGAGTGAGAAGATGAAGTGCAGGGAACTAGAGAGGAAGCTCTCTACCACCGAGGAGAAATGGGAGCTGGTCGTCAAGAGGTATCGGGACAATGAGAAACAGCTCAATAACAAGGTAGGAACAGATGCTTTCTTTGTAGACGGTTCGTAGTCTGCTCATTTCACAGATGATGCCAAGTATCATTAAATATCATTAAATCTTTCAAACATGAAGAAGTCGAACTTAGTGCATTTTATAATAAGCAATGCCAAAGTGATGGAGGGGCTCTCTGAATAGGCAGACAAGAAATTCAATTCAAGTGAACTCAGTTCAAATCAATTAGTCTCAATGTATGTATTATCTATATGACCAGAGATTTTTTTTTTACGTTCATAAAATATGCAGGAGAATATAAGAACATGATAAGGCAATCAAATTCCTTCATAGGCACAACAAAAATATTACAAATTTTCAAGAGTAAAAGAATATGAGAGGGGAAAGATACAAATGAGGTTTGTAGGTATGTGGTAAATTGTCTATTTAGCGGATTAAATTGCAATTAACTTCTTGGCGGTGTAGATAATGGGTAGGTAGGATAAGATGAGACACATGGCAACTTACTTTAATATCTTGCAGTATCTGGGCAACTCGATATGCAGGAGGTTTTCTTTTCCTTGCACAACACAAAATACAAAGTTGAATTTCTTCCAAGCGTCTCTTTTGGTCTTTTTTTTTAAAAGAAATGTTTAGATATTGGATTTAAAGGACGAGATAAGATTTTCAAGGTAAGACATCACTGTCTTCGTTACTTGTTATGGAAAAATCTGGTATCCGGCACTATTGTGAAATTGGTTTGACTTTACACTGCACAATAAGTGGCGAGTGAAGCACAGGGTGGGTGATGGGGTATGATGAGACAACGTAACTGTTTTGATCAAGGACGTTCAAACCAATTTTTACATCATTTTCAAGTGTGGAGTTTGATTTGCCTCAAGAAGGAGGGTTGAAGTTGGGAACATGAATCTATTAAGAGGGTGCGAGGCTGAGAATGATTTTCCGCATGAATGTTCGTGCGTACCCTAGCTGTGCAGCTAAGGTGTACACAAACATTACTGCGAAACATCCTTAAGCATCAATATAGTGCTGTATTAGCCTTGTTATTGCGCTATCCTTAGAACCACTAAGGACTACATTTTCCCTGTGTTGTAGGGTTGTGGTTTTGATTAGGTTTTCATTGGTTTTCATCTTTTTTGCAGTTTGTAGTTGTAAGACTGTTTTTCTTATTACATGTATTTATGTAATTATCATTTTCATTTTATGCTGTATGCGCTTTTGGCTTTATGGGAAATTCGCCGTCTAAGTAATGATAATAATAATAATAATGATTGGACAGATACAATGGGATAAATATGAAATATGAGAAAGAGAACCAACGGATTCAGGACTAATGGGAATTACGGGCCTGATAATTACCTGATTTAAATCAGTTTCCTGATTTATTTATTTCCTTCCAGATTTTAGGGGGGAATGCATGTTGTTAGATGCTATTTTTTTTCCTGAATCCTTTTTTTTTTTTTTTACTCAAGGGGGGGGGGGGGGGGGAGGGGGTGGTTCAGGAAGAAAAAAAACACTATTGTTATAGTGCTCACTATCACCCCTGGAATTAGGAGCAATAAGTAAAGATCAATTGGATATAGGCCTACCTGACTGTATGATCAGTTGGACCCAGGACTTGATCATCATTTTGTATTCCTGCAGTTGGACATCCTGAGCCATGAACTGGACGGCTCCAAAACACTGCTCTCCAATAGCCAACTGGATATTTTCAAGCTACAAGCAGAAAACAAGAGGGTAGGTTTTGATCAAATATATATTGATTAATTGAAATCACTATTTTTTGGAATATGATATTTATGATAGTATATATTTAGTTTAATAGAATTCATTGAGCAGGGTGTGAATCTGTAAACAAGTGTTGTCTACTTATTAGTTCTTTCATATTCTCATTATACATATGTTATTGTATTTCATGTGAGTGAGCAAGATCGACATCCTTTTTTTCTGATCATGCTTATGTCACAAATCTAATGTTTGACACTTAAAGTGAGGAACTATTGTATTCTAAGTATCCTGTATATTTTAGATATATTGGATATTCAAATACTATTGGTTAGTTTTATTAACACGGACTATGCCAGTTTTTGTACTTATATATTTTGTTTGCTTGAAAGATTCTGAAGGAAGTTCCCTTGAATTTCATTTTGTTTCTCACATATAATTTCTGGATAAATATACAGTTGTGTTATTGGATGTAATTTTCCCTTTTTACTTCATTAATTGCCCATAATCCACCGTGTATGCAATCTAATGTTAGCGGTAGTGTTTGAAGTAGTAATTAGTAAAGAAAAATAGTTGTTCGCTACGATTCCTAAATGTAGGTCATATTGATTTAAATTCTTGTTCGTTTTGTTTAAATTTCCTGGAAAACCATCCTGATATGTATATGTATGTCTTCAATATTGTTAATATTATGCAGGATCCCCAAGTATAACAGTATTCTAACTACTGCTGGGGCTACACTTTTTGAAATGATACCAAATAAATATATATTCAAATAACTAAATCTGTTTTCATACCAAATGTTGAGAATGAATATAAGTTATTGGTGTTTTCACAGGTGTCATTGGATCAGCATGTATCCAGGCAACTGTGTTTAGAATTAACCAGTGTCTTTTCATAATTAAGATTTTTCATTTAACTATTAAAATTAATAACTAAAAGGAAGATATGAGACAGATTTCAGAAAAATACCCTTGGTTAGTAGCATATGTGAGGCAGAGTGAAATTAAAGGAACAAATATTCTCTAAATGAGGGGTCTATCTACTGATTTCGCCATAAAGTATTTAGAACTATTCCCACTTTTACCTGTGATAATTTAATGTTATAACAAATATTTTAAAGGTTACTTTTGTATGGCAATTAAAAGAAAGGATATTCATAAGGGGAATTTATTTTTATTTTTCATTAGATTTTAAATGATTCTAGCTTTGAGAAGGACAAGTATGAGGATCAGCTCCAGGTGGAGCAGAGTATCCTGGGTAAGGAGGTGGAGCATCATAGGGAGACCATAGGAGAGCTGGAGCATCTGGTAGACGGACTGAAGAAGGATCGGGATGTACTAGCACATGAGCTCCAGGCTATGATCAGTAAGGAGCAGAAACACAAGGAATGGATGGGATCCATGGACCTATTGGGCAAGGAGAACAGGGAGCTCTCTGATAAGGTAGGACCAACCATTAATGTGATAGGTATCATGTTCCCAGCACTTGGGCATTAGATCTAGGTTATGATTTACTAGGAGCAGAAACCTAATCATGGAATGGGTGCCATGTATGTGAGAGGAAGCAATATAGGAAAATTTTGTGTAACCATAACGCCTCTGTTTTGACATAGCTCCAGGCTATGTCCAGTATGGGGAGGAAAGTATAGTGAAGCAGCAGAAACTGCAGGATATAAGTATGTGTAATGCATGATAAAGAAGACTTTAATCTGTCATTTCTGAAGGACAGCCCAAGGTAAGTACAATCATTGTTAAACAAAGAAGTGATTTATGTTGATTGACTTACATTCAATTTACATGAGTTCCGCAAATCTTTTAACGGTCTGACACAATTAAGTATGATCATCGTTAGATAAAGAAATGGTTTCATCATGAACTTGATCCACCTACGATTCATTTGCATTTTCAAATTCTTCAAGACAGCTTAAAGCAGTTCCAATGTTTGTTTTAAAAAAGGGTTTCATTATGGAACTTGACTCACCTCTGATTCATTTGAGCTTCAAAATTCTTCAAGTATGGGCATCAAAAATTTGGGAAGTCTGTTAGATAAAGAAGAGTTCATCATGAAAATCGTCTCGCCTATGATTCAGTTGCACTTCAAGTTGGCCTTGAGAAGTTGTGAAGTTCGTTAGATAAAGAAGGGCTTAATCATTGAAATTGGCTCATGCCCCTCCAATTCATACGTGTTGCTGGACATCGGCTGCTTGTACCCATCACCCTGCCCGCACCATGGCAGTTGATATTCATCATGAGATCCCTGCATGTTCTGGAGCTTCCAAGGTTTTTGATAGGAAAATATGGAAGGCCTTCATGGCCAAAGAACATTCTCTCTCCCTGGATGTACACTGCATGTACATGTACATGTATCTGGAAACAAAGCACAGAGGAGAATGTCCTAGTATAAAGACGCATAGTAGTCGGCTCTCATGGGGAATTCAACACCGTTCAGGTGTTAACCCTATAACAGGCGTTGCCAACTCATTAGGATTAGCCTTCAGTTTTATAACCTAAATGCCTTATGTATATCACATTAATTGTATTTCCACCAAATCTGGTGTCGGCTTAGAGACATTTGTATTAAGCACTATATAAAAAATAAATATTATTATTATGGCCTTCTGCACCTGAAAACTGACGACCCACTCCCTTTAATAGAGCAGTAGGAGTGTGAGTGTATTGATTAGAGAGTGAAATAGGGGATGGATCTAGGATTTGATAGCTGAGCTAGGTGAGGGGAGTATGGAGGCAGGAAAGAGAGGAGAAGTGGGGGGGGGGGGACATAATGGAATAAACATGTACATGAGGAGAACGAAAGAAGCACATATGCTGTGGATGATCACTGAAAGAGAGCATAAGGCAGAGAGAGATAATGTGAGAAAAGGGAGGGCATAACAGGTGGTAAGAGAGAGAATGGAAAGGGGAGAGCAAAAGAGGATATAGAGAAAGAGCAGAAAATAGAAAAAAAGAATACACAAATACACAGGAGAAAAGTCATTGAGCAAGGATTTTTTTTTTAAAGAGGAGGAAGAGAAAGGCGAAAGTGACAAATTTCAACATTGGGTGGGGGAGGGGGGGGGGGTGTGAGGTAAAAGGTGTGAGGTAGAAAAAGAGTTGAATTATAAATATATGTTAAACGGTGATCCATCAAGCAGGGAAGCAGGCAGGTGTTTTATCATCACGTTAAGCAAAAATTTCACCACGTTGTAAGGTCCTACTTCACATCCAAATATGAGAGCAACAAATAACAGGAAACTGACTGCAGGTGCACTCCTACTTCCAGTATGAAATGAAATTGTTGATTGTCAGTGAAACTTGCGAAAGGTGTTGAATTTTTATTCTAGGGAATCTGGAATTTGATTGGTGGCGAGCACTGCCGAAGTCATCGTTGTTGCATCCTGGAAATATTAAGATCCTTTAGTCCTGAAAGTAGATTTAGAGATGGCAAATATTGGTGAAGGGATAGCTTGTTGCTTGCAGAGCGTGGTTTACTCTAGGTTCTTGCCTGATCTGCTCTGTGCTAAATGCAGTGTGGTAAGTTTTTGTAGTGTATAACACATTTGCCAGAGAAAATCATGCCTATAAACTTACTTCACTTCATCTTATATATCACTCAAAGTGAAGAGCTTGTTCAGCTTTTTTGTTTGATACCAACGTTGCCTCAGTGGAACATTTATTTCTGAGTTATTGACAATTTTATGAATTTTTTTGGCTAGTGAACATTTTATATATGTGGAATATTGCCCATAGGCTTTACTGAAATTTTTATCCAGCTTGAGCAAGTCTTAACATTGGTTCTTTTCACACATGTTTACTCTGTATATATGGCTTTTAGGTTAGGCACACAGATGTCCAATTTTCTTTAATTTGCTTTTGTTCGCAAAGGTTTGTTTTATGACAGCACTGTTCCAAGATTCACAATTATGAGTGATATTAATTCAGTTCATGATATTTACAGAAAGCGAGATATTAAGAAAATATAAATACTGAGAGAGTCTTTCATTTCCTCTTTAAACGAAATAATTAGATAATGGCAATATATATGTATAGCAAGCTTTCTGTGAATGCATTAATTTGCAATTGTTTGTAATACTCTAAAGGTACTGTACATGCAATCAGCTAAAAATTGAGAGTTACTACTTACAGTGGAGTCATGTTTGGTTTGTTGCTAGTATGGTCTATCCAAGTTTTTAAGATTGATAGTTGAGGCGAGACTGGTAGAAGTTCCATCTGGCATGTTATGGTGTAGTTATTGGGACTAATACTTGGTGATTCTCTGCATCCTGGAAGAAATGAGTATGGCCGGTGTATCTCTACCAAGGTAGATGATGCTCTTGATATGTGAAGCCTTACATATATCACAGTTATAGTCAGTGTACTGGGCTCAAATTTTTTTTTTTCTGCATTCACCAGTGTTGGAAATATATCCTATGGGTACTTTGTCCAGGATTACTGTTGGCTGGTGTAAGGGAGACAAGCACTTTGCATTCTTGTGAAATAATTTGCGTACATTAATTGTGATCCTCCAGCTGCATTTAAAGGCATCTGCTTTTCTGTTAATGATTGATCAGAAACCTTGTTCTCTCGGGTTGGCATGCAACACAATCGTACTGTTTGGACTTTCATCTTTTTGATTTTTATGAAGATATTAATCAACCAGAACATGCATTCCTTGAATGATTTATTTTGTCTCCTAGAAGACAGATGGGCATTAACACATTATTACAGAGACAATACTCTTTTGGCAGATAACAGAAAACCTGGAACACTGAGTATAATATGGGATGGACTTTCATTGACGTACCATCTTGTGAAAAATTATTTATGAGAGCTGGCTTTCACATGCATGTACACAGTACGTATAATATCAAATTTCCCCTGTTTGTATAATAGTGCACATACTGTTTAGATAAGGAGATATCATAGTCTGGATTTCTTGGATCATCTGTGCCGGGGTCGATCTAACAATTTTTGTTAAAGATCCTGCTGCTTTAGCCTCTCGTGAATTAGAGACAAAAGGCTTTGTCACTGAGATGGGGCTGTCACAACCTTGACTGGGAGGGTGTTCCATGTTTTCACAGTTCTGGGGAAGAAGGGAGTTTTGATGTTACTGAGTCCTGGATTATGGTATGAGATATCCCTGTGTGTGAACAGCTCTTGTTGTATTGGTCTGGTGGATTCAGTGATGAGTTCCTCAGATTTGAATGGAACTAGCTGGTTGTAGATCTTGAAGAACATCACAAGACGAAGGTGTTATAGTCTCTGTTGGAGTGATGTCCATCCCAGCTCCTGCAACATTGATGACATGCTGGATGTGTCCAGTGGCGGTATCGATTCTTTGTTGGATCATTTCCAGCTTATTGATGTTTTTGGCCGTTGATGGATCTCATACCGAAGAGGCAGATTTCACCAGGGGTCTAACCATGCAGTGTTCTGTATGCTTATAAAATTAAACCATAGGTTCTCTTTGTACTGTAAATGTATCTCAGATGTAATGATAGTTTTGATAAATTGTTTTTCCCCAAAAAATCAAGTCTGTTTGGTAGGAGAATAATGCATGAGGACATAATACAATTTGTGTTTGTATTTATTAACATATAAAGAATCAGCTCACATCTGTGTTTCATTGTAGTCTAGAAAATGAAATTTAATCATGATATGTTGTTCCTTGTTAAATTGTATTATTATTGAAGTTACCTTGTACTCTCATATCCCTATTCAGAAACAAGTAAAGTTCCTGTCTCCAAGATTCAGATCATCATCACCATCTGTACAATCAGTGAGAATGAAACTTCTTCTTCTCTTTCATAGTCTCTTCATCATTTGCATTCTTAAAGGAAACCTACCCCCAAAAATAACTTTAGGTATTCTGAGAGATTTATTTTATTCTTGCCCATTAATATTAAAAGAGATATCGGTAAATACATGTAGATGGCATAATGTAAAGTTTTTCATCATGACATGGGCATCTCCCGCATTTTGTTGATAATGTGATGTTATATGCAAAGTTGTTTATCTAGTGAATGTACCGGTATTCAAATTTATGGATGGTTCCTTCCCGCATGTGTGCTGCGGAGATAAAATATTTCATTCACCTGTCGTTATCTATTGTACTACAATTGCAGATGCAAATTGCATAAATAAGTTGGAGCTCTTCTGAGATAGGTCTTGCATAAATGAAATAGATTTGTTAACTGCTATATTTTAGTATTTTGTATTAAATGAGTTACAATTGTTCCTCTGTTATATATTTGCACCTGATACGTCAGGTTATCAAGAAAATTGCTGCTCATATGTCATGGTAAAATACATATCATGCCAAGAATATCTTTATTTATATATCTTTTGTATATTTCCATAAGGAATATTGTACATCAATTGCAGGAATAAAACTCGTCATTCAACATACCTACACTTATTTGTTGGGTGAGGTTTCCTTTAATTATGTTTCCATCTAATCATCCTTATATAGGACAGTTACATGTAGATCAGACCTGTAAAATCCAATTTTTAATGATTCAAGTTTTTGCAGCTATCTGAAATAACAGATAAATCAGCACAATTGGAAAGCAGTTTTCTCATCACCAAGCTGTCTGCTAATTGTCTCTCTATCCTCTGTACATTCACATACATGTACATGCTTATGAGTGAATTTTATATTTGATTAGGCTCCAATCCTTTACAACATGTATTGAATCACTTCTTACTGGCATTCATCAAGCTATTTCAGTTGTCTTACTTTCATGGAGTTTATCTTTTCATATTAGCTGTTTTGTTTCTAGTGGTATGCTTATCTCTGCCTATCATTTATCTTCTTTGATATGCATGATGTTTGATCTTGGAGAGTAATGGCAATATGTCATAATGCACCCTTCATTATTCTCTTTCTTCATTATCCTCTCTTTATTATTTTGCATGATTTACATCTAATTGTGGCTGATTCAGCAAACAATTGGTATATTTATTCTGTGTTGAACTTCATAATGTGTAGATATCATTATTTATATCTTGTAATTTACTGAAAATGTTAAAATAGAATATGTTGCATGTACATTTCGTGTTATGCTATTCCTGCATGTACATTTTAAGCACTTACTAGATATGTCATTCATTTCTTCATTTTCTTTTTCAATCTGTCTTTTTACATGTATTCAAGAAATTCAATGCTTGTTTGTGTCCTCATTGGATTTCTGTCAACTCTGTTTTTGTATAACTTATGTTTTTTTTAAATACAATTCATGTTATTCTCAACTTCATGTATCAGTAATCGATCCTACTTGATTCTCATTTTATTCCTTCTCACGTGATAGTTTGGAAAGAAGTTATCAGTCAGAGCTCCGTTCTAATTCTTTCGCCTAGTTTCCAATTTTGGTATTCCAAAGATAAACATTGTGGTGCATTACTATATCTGTTCTTTTACTTTTGTTTCTTTTCTGTTCTTATTTGTTTGTAATCATCTTCTCTTTTCTCAAATTAGGCACATTTGTATGATACAAAAGTTAAATATTCAAGTATAACAGTAGCTGCATGTGTCCTTTCATTATCATGCAATAGCACAATTAAATCACAGTTTTACTTGTTCATTTTCTTCTATACTATGAATTGTATGATTACATGTATGTGCTATTTGAACTTTGAACTGAACTCAGTAATTATTTCAGTGTGATTTGCTGCACATTGTATTTGTAATACTACAGGTAGTGGGTTATTTTCCATTGCTTCATACCGGCATGAACACTTATATATGTAGCAATGTAAAGAAAAACTAGTGAGATTTATAAACTACACACGATAGTTAATTATTTATTTCTGAGTAGGTTCTATAGCATGCAGCTGAGTTAAATTAAAGGCTTCAATTTGTGTGTGTAGTATATAGTTCATACCTGATAGCTATTAAGAGCACAAGAAATACAATCGTACTTAGGAGTTAGGGTTGTTGTAGCTAAAGCATTGTAATTGAGTACCGGTAGCCAAACTTGTCCATATTACATGTACATGTATGTGTTTTAAAAAATGAACGTGTACAGATGCTCATTGCTAAGACAGTCATAGATACAATGTATTCAATCAGCAATAAGTCATTAACAATAGTAATAACACCAAAAAATATGACAAAAAAGGAAAGAAAGAAAGGGAACAAAACAAATTATGAAATACCTAGATCCTTAATTTTGTAAAACTTTTGAATGATTCATTTTGTTGCCCAATCTCCTTATTTGTCATCGAAATGTGCATGACATTCCATTGACCTAAAGACTTGGCAGGAAGATTTTCTTTTATCCCTATACTGGAGATGTTTCACATGAAAATCTTTGAATATAATGAATTCTGTTATTTAATATGGAAGGCTTCATTTGAAAGAGAATATTCATGAGTATATTTTCATTGTCTGTAATTAATTTCTGTTGAAACAGCTGGAATCAAGTCTAAGCAAGGAGACGTACATGCAACAAGAATTGGACATTGAGAAAAGAAAAAGTAGAGGTAAGGATCGACTGTCTTGAGATATTGGTTTGAATCCAATGTCTTCTTCTATCTATCTATATAAGTATCTTCTCCTGGTTCGGAGGTTGATTGCAACATCTCCCCATTTCACTCTATCTTCTGCCATTCTGGTGCACTCTTTCAGGTTTAGTCCACTCCAGCTCTTGATATTCTCTGCCCTGTTGATTCTGGGTCTCCCTGTAGGTCTACTTCCTTCCACTCTTCCTTCCAATACATCTTAAGCATGGAAAATATAGATTTTTGGAGAGGAAAATGGAAATGTAAACAGGTAGAAGAAAGGAGAGTCGAAAATAATGGACAAAGTGAAGTTAATAGGGAGGAAAGAACAAAGGAGGGATATATTTAGTTCTAGTATTGTGTCATGATTTATTTTGATGATTCCTATCCCAGTGCTTTTCATGCCCTATTAAAAGTCCTAGTACAAATCATCTTCTCTGTACTGATTTTTGTACCGGGGGTATTTGTTTTTATATTTACAATTTTATTTTTAACCTGTTGCAATACATGTACAAGGATAAAATTTAAAGAGTATTTAGTTCTAATGTGAGTAGCATACAATAGCAATGAAGATAAACCAGGAAAATGACTTTGTATGTCATTGATTATAGCAGCTGAATACAAGAACGTTTCCTTCACTTCTCAATCGTTCTCTGATTTTCATTTACGACATGATATGTTATTTTACTGCAAGCTTGAGTATTTATAATCAGAGGGGTGATTATTTTTGCTTGTCAGACCTAGCATCCAGACTGAAGATGTCTGAGCATTCAGGAGATGCACTTCAAGGAGAGCTAGGAAGGAGGTCTGCTGAGCTCTTTAAGCACTATGATAGTAGTAGAGATGGACAGGTGAGTGCTATCTGACCGGGGGGGGGGGGGGGGGGGGGGGGGGGGGGGGGGGGGGGGGGGGGGGGGGGGGGGTCACAAAGATTCAAGGAGAGCTAGGAAGGAGGTCTGCTGAGCTCTTTAAGCACTATGATAGTAGTAGAGATGGACAGGTGAGTGCTATCTGACCAGGGAGGGGGGGGGGGGAGGGGGGTCACAAAGATTCAAGGAGAGCTAGGAAGAAGGTCTGCTGAGCTCTTTAAGCACTATGATAGTAGTAGAGATGGACAGGTGAGTGCTATCTGACCGGGGGAGGGGGGGGGGGGGTGTCACAAAGATTCAAGGAGAGCTAGGAAGAAGGTCTGCTGAACTCTTTAAGCACTATGATAGTAGTAGAGATGGACAGGTGTGTGCTATCTGACCAGGGAGGGGGGGGGGGGGGGGGTCACAAAGATTCAAGGAGAGCTAGGAAGGAGGTCTGCTGAGCTCTTTAAGCACTATGATAGTAGTAGAGATGGACAGGTGAGTGCTATCTGACCAGGGAGGGGGGGGGGGGGGGAGGGGGGTCACAAAGATTCAAGGAGAGCTAGGAAGGAGGTCTGCTGAGCTCTTTAAGCACTATGATAGTAGTAGAGATGGACAGGTGAGTGCTATCTGACCGGGGGGAGGGGGGGTGTCACAAAGATTCAAGGAGAGCTAGGAAGAAGGTCTGCTGAACTCTTTAAGCACTATGATAGTAGTAGAGATGGACAGGTGAGTGCTATCTGACCAGGGAGGGGGGAGGGGGTCACAAAGATTCAAGGAGAGCTAGGAAGAAGGTCTGCTGAACTCTTTAAGCACTATGATAGTAGTAGAGATGGACAGGTGAGTGCTATCTGACCAGGGAGGGGGGAGGGGGGTCACAAAGATTCAAGGAGAGCTAGGAAGAAGGTCTGCTGAACTCTTTAAGCACTATGGTGAGTGCTATCTGACCAGGGAGGGGGGGGGGGAGGGGGGTCACAAAGATTCAAGGAGAGCTAGGAAGGAGGTCTGCTGAGCTCTTTAAGCACTATGATAGTAGTAGAGATGGACAAGTGAGTGCTATCTGACCAGGGAGGGGGGGGGGTTCACAAAGATTCAAGGAGAGCTAGGAAGGAGGTCTGCTGAACTCTTTAAGCACTATGATAGTAGTAGAGATGGACAAGTGAGTTATCTGACCAGGGGGTGTTTCACAAAGGTCCTAAGTTGGACTTAGCAATTATGGGAAGCCGTTAGCATCTATACAAATATTTTGTAAAAGTTATTTAATAGGCATGAATGTTGATTTAAATCATTCATATTTTCTATTATCAAGGAGATTTCTTGTTCTTGATGTGGAATTTATAAAAAGTCTAAGTACTTGAATTTTTATTTTAAGGCTACAAATGGCTCTCCATAATTTTTAAGTCCAACTTAAAGTTAAGTTTGACTTGAGATCTTTGTGAAACACCCCTTATAGACAGGCACAAACAAATCCATAGCAAGGGGATCAGTACATTTCTAGAAAAACACATTTTAAAGTGTTTGACCATATCAGTACTACATATTTCAGTGTGTACAGTGTTAGTTGAAATTATCTCTATATAATTTTTTTAAAGCAAAATGATGAAAAAATATTAAAGATTCAAAAACTTTGTTTTTATACCTTTATGCCTGGCTCGTAGTGACTTGTCTGAAAATCGATTGATACAATTGTTTGGATCCATATTACTCCAAAGCTGTATTTCTCATACAAACGTTTCTTTTGACTGTCAGAAAGCTTGCACAGATTTACGTTGCATGAAAATGATTTAGGTATATATATATATATATATATATATGCAAGTGAATTAGCTTTCATCCATGATGTTTGTCCTACCTAGCAACAATTAATGTATGCAATTCACATTTTGACTATTAAAAACCAATTATTTGTAACAGACAAAATTTAAATTTTTTAACATGGCATCTATTAAAGATTATGCATTACATTTGATTACATTACTAAAATGGTCTATTCATACTTTCTGTTCAACTGTTTATTTTGTAATTGTGATTTTTGTTTATTTGGTGTATCAGAATAAATTGGAGATAGAGCTTCTAGCTGTGAGGAGAGAGTTAGAGATGGAAAAGGCTTTAGCAGCTAAAGACAAGACCAATCTGAATCAAACCTTGGAGAGAGATGAGTTGAGGCTTAAAGATCTTGAGACACACCTCAGTACCAAAAACCAGGTAATTAATAGACATGACTGAATTAGTTAAGTGAGTTAATTAGTATTAAAGATAAAGACCAGTTATGGTCATGCGATTGCATTGTGAAAGAAACGTTGTGGAATCGATCAGAAAAGGTTGATCATCTACCATATAAGTATTGGTGTGAAATGCAAGGTTCTGGAATCATCAAAATGATAAGAAATTTGGCCCAGTCTTGGTAAAGTTACAAACACTGTACACAGAAAGATATATATGGGACTACGCACACGTGCGCGACATGTGCGTTTATCTCTCACATACCAATAGATAAACTAATTTACCAAATATATCAATTAGTAGGCGGTTTCCCGGCAAAATTGTTATCATCATGTATTAGTCAAAACATATTCTTTCACATGATTGGTAATAAGAGCTTCCATTTCATTTTTTGAAATTGGGGCGTTTCTAAAACTGGTCTTTACCTGTAAGATTGAGGGCAAGTCCAAGCAAGTTGTTAGATAGAGATACATGTACATGTATGCATAACTAATCCTTCTTCAATCAATATTTATCAAGAAACATGAAGAAGGATCATTATTATTATAGATTGACATGAAATGTGCAATTTTATTTTGTATTTCGGCATACACTAATACTCCCAATTTAATAACATAATCACTTAATAAACTAGAGTCTGATTGTAATTGGTATAATATGACACAAGATATTTATATTTTGGAAAATATAGTTAAACGTGCTTTAGTGACCACCTGTCTACAAAGACCACATTTTTTGTTTCCCTTGAAAATGGTTTCTCATTGAAACATATATTAAGGAACCTGTACATGGTCTTTATAGACAGGTTTCACTGTATTTACAAACAGCTCTAGGTTAGTACATGTAGAGGTATGACCTTGGGTTACAATAGCATCACAGAGTTTGCAAGCAATATACAATGGAAAGTAACACCATTTATGAGCTAATGGTTTGGAGAAGGGTGTGTGGTATTCAGTAGTCATCAACTATTCTTAATTTAGTTTATGAAGTGAAATAGATGATAACTTGTGATTTTATCTGCTCATGGTCATGTACATGTATAAGAGAACCAAATTTGTTAACATTGCTAACAATATATGCTTGCATGCTTATATTATGCTGCAATTTCTACTCTCCACCTAGGTGTTAAATGGGTACCCGGTAGGATGCGACCGTCATTGTTGGTCAAACAGTTTTTGAACGTCATGTAACGCCTGGCTGGAATGCTCCCCAGGGAGTGGAGATCGTGCACACATTGTGTGCTGAATCCAATGACTGGGGTAGTAGTATATTTGTAAAGCGCTTAGAGACATTTGTATTAAGCGCTATATAGAAATTAAATATTATTATTATTATGCTAATATATTCAGAAGATCTAAGCCTGAAATCTAAAGCTTCATTTTCCCTGATATTTTACCATCTACCTTAGATGTACAAGTATCATTTTACTTGTGTAGACGGTGAATTGCTGTTTACTACCCAGTTAGTCTATTCCCATATGGTCTACACGCAGCCTGTCTACTATCCACATGGTCTCGTAATCATTTTGTCTACTTATCATTTGGTCTAATAACCATTTCAGCTAATAGTCATTTGGTCCAATTTCCTTTTGGTCTAATATCCAATAAGTCTAATACCCATTTCGTCTATCACTTATTTGGTCTAATTGCCAGTCGGTCTAATTGCCAGTCTGTCTAATGCCCATTTTGTCTACTGTCCATGAGGGCTAATAATCATTTGATGATTATTATTATTTGTGATTAAATGATTATAAGACCTTTAATGGATCGTAGACTCTTGCTGACAAAATGAGTTGTTCTGATATTTCATTTTAAATGATGAATAATTTTACACATCTATGTTGATAAAAATAGGAAATAACCCAACTGAGGAGAGAGGTAGGACGCCTCTCACTGGATGAAAGCAGAACAGGGGAAAAGGTGAATGAAGAAACAAGACGAAGGTCAGACGTGGAGTCGAGGAACAAGGTGTTGGAAGAAGAAATGACCAAGGTAATCATCCCCACAGTATTTTGACAACTCTTTCTTTTTATTTTTATCCCATCGTCTTCCCATAGTCCATTTCATCCGTCATTTCATCTTTCCTTGTTTATCAAATCTTTTCCTTTCCCTTCCTCTTTACCTCATCTTCCTCATCTTTTTCTGGCTAATCTAATCTTTTTTAGATTTCTCTCTCCCTTTAATATCTCTCTCATCCTCTACTTCTTATTCCTTTCCTATTTTGTCGTCTAGTTCTTTACTTCATCTTCTCCTCATCAGTAATCATCTTCACTTTTATTGTCTTTCTTTGTTCATCTTTTCTCTGGTTATAGGGACAGATTTAGGTATTGTACATGTATTTTTTTGAGAGATTACAGCATTAGAATTGATTAATCGTGTAGAATTGTATACGTGCAAGGTCAAAAGGTGAATGTGTATTGTTATATTATGTACATGAATTCTCTCTCCTCTAGCTGTGGAGCCAATTGAAAGGCATGATGGACCGGCTGTCAGAGGCAGAAAAATCCAAACATGAATTGGAGTCTGAATTAACAAGGGTAAGCAGGGAATCTAATCATAAACTAAAACTACATTATTCTGCCACCTCCCCCCCCCCCCTCAACTTAACCACTTTCTCCCACTCTACCCCCTAGTATCTTTACCACAGCCTCTAGCTTCCACTCACCACACCCACTTTCTACCACATCCCTTTTCTAGTGCTGGGAGTCAAACCAGACCAAAGCCCAGGAGCCTTCTGCTTTGGGCTTCCACCCACCACACCCACTTTCTACCACATCCCTTTTCTAGTGCTTGGAGTTAAACCAGACCAAAGCCCAGGAGCCTTCTGCTTCAGGCTTCCGGTCTATGTCCTGGCTGGTTCTGGTTGGAAGTAGAATCTGTGAAAACTGGAAAAAACTTTGTTAAAACGCTTGCATGATCTGATGCAAACTTTTCTTTATTCTAACATTTATTTTGTTACCTATATTGACCGGATGATGTCAATATATTTCATGCCCTTTAAAAAATTTTCCTTCAAGTAACAGCTGAATTGATTTAAATTAAAAAAAAAAAATTTTAATTGTATAATGATCATACTTATGTCTAGCCTTCCTACAGAAACTGTAATGTTAGTGACATGGAAGTAAGAGGATAAAAATAGCAAATCACTTCTTTATCGGGGAGAATGAATTACTTCATAGAATATGGGACAGAGAGTTGTGGCATTCCATGGTCGCCAACGTCTCAGGACATGGCACGTAAAGAAGAAGAAGAAGAAGATCTAACGATGCTCATAACTTATTTTGGGCCGTCTTGAAAAATTATGAAACATAGGTGAAATGGAAGTCAATCAAGACAATGGACCATGGGTTGAATAGATTAAAATTCTGAATCACCTCTTTATCTGAAAATCATTGTAATAACATTAGGCCAACTGGAATAATTGTAATCTCAAGTGAAACAGATGATAGATATTTTTATTATCGCATAATTCCGCTTCTGACAGCACAGTAGGCATGGCCTTGACAACGCACATGATTTCATCCCTACTTGAAGATCAAAACTTAACAGATACTCCTGTTTCTCCAGTTTCCGGAACAAAATATTGCAGATTTTGCAGTCCAGGTTTTTCTCTCTAAGTCCCAGTACTACTTTTCTTCTCCAAACAACCTCTACTACACCACTTTTAATACTTTAACATCCTTCTCATCATATCATTGTTACTCCACTCCCTTCTCATATCCCCTCTACCATACCCCCATTCTACTGACCTCTTGTACACCCCTTTCATCATATGCACTTATACTACACCCCCTTTCATGTCGCCTCTTTCACCACAACTCCCTTTCGACATATTCCCTTCCACCATCTATTCTGGCGTTAACCTTAATATCCCTACACATTTATTTCACCTAATCACCTTCTTTTATCAAAACTCTTTCCAAACCCCATTTATCATACTCATATTCAACACCTTTATACCTAAGCTGTAAATATATATGCATGTACAGTATTCACACTAATTAAATGACAATGCTAAATTAAAAGTAAAGTCATCAGGCAATGCCTAATACATTAATGGGGTTCCAATTTCAATATTTCTGATCAGCAGTGGTCTGATTATTTTGTCTCCTTTTTGGGGTTAAGGTTAGCATATATTTGCATGAATGAATATCTTTCCAATTGTTTAATACACACTCCATAATAAGAATATTGTATACCATCCATAGAACTTGTCTTTGTGAAAATCCTAATGGTTTAATGATAATAATATTGTTTATTCATTCCAACAAGTAACAACAACAAAAAATGATAATACATTTGTCTTAATCTGTTTAGTTCTGTTTACTTTAGCTGTGCATAGAAACTTATAATTTGCAAATTTGTAAGATCTGGAAGGAAACCTACAGCTCTTTAACCAAAATTGCTCTCGTTTTTCATATTGATCATTTTATAACAAACTGATATTAAGTAACAGCACTTTACTCTCCAGTTTTCTTTAGAGCATTCAAAATGAAACAAAAGTTCCAATTCCAGAACAGGACATTCCATCATACTTACTAACCTGGCATGTAATAATCCCTTGCATGTTATTGCAAATCATATATTAAAAACCATTCCCCATTTGTTAATCCCTGCATAATCATTATATAACACCATTCTTCATTGGTTAATCCATTTTGACCCCTCCGCAGTTAACCAATCAGTATCGTCACCAAGAAGCAGCAAAGGATATGCATCATGCAGAGACAGTTGCCGTGACGACTACCCTGAGTAAAGTTCAGCAGCGAGCTCAGGCTGCAGAGAGGAAGGTTAATAATTAATGCTTGGTTTGGGCTCTAAACTCTTCACTATATGTGCTTGTGTTTGCTTTGTAGTAATAGTGTGCGCTGAGTCATCAGGCAGTGTGCAGCGATGAAATTAGCAAGCAAGTTTCTGTGGATCTGACCCCATTTGACCTTGCAACTTCATTAAAACAATTTATAAGATACACAAATTCATCTCCAGTGTGAATATATAAATAGTTAAGGAAATATTATAGTCTTCAATTCAATTCAAGTCAATTCAATTCAATTCATTTATTTTTCCTCTTTCAATCGTTCATATTTACAATGATGGTACATTTTAACATATTCACATATTCATATACATATAGATCAATTTGCACAATACAATACATTAACAAATTATACATGAAATTGAAAGGGAAGGAGGGCCAACTAAAAAGCAGAGCTTATAGGGTGTAAGCCCCCCCCCTGTAAAAGTAATTATTATGAATTATTATTTTATGAGAAAAAACAACAACAATAACAATAACTGATTCAGTAATACAAAAATCACTTTTAACGCAAAACATTGATAAATACTTACATGTTTACAAAAAGAAAAATTTCCAAAGTTGCATAAAGTCACACTACAAATTATCTAAGCATTGGGATCAGAGTGCCTCATGGACACCATTTGTGGCCATCCCCTGTGGCCAACACCTCTACTGTCAATTATGCATGATGTTGATAGTATGTAGTAAAAGATGTAATTTTGGAGAAATGGAAGTTTACTTCCTCAGAATTAGATATTTCATTTCACATCGTCACGGCATGTTAAAAAGTACCTTGATTTTTTGGATCTGGAAAAAAAATCTTAGCCCTCATGGCTATACTGATATTTTGACATGCGCATTCATATTCTTATCACATTTCAAATCCCCAAATGCATGTATAACTATGGAAAACATTTTGAAAATTCTTTTAGATCCCTTGTTGACCATACATTGCGAGACAAACAAATATCACTAGCGATATTATTTTTAATACTACATCCGCAATGAGTAATATATTTAGCAATGTTGAAAATTGTTTAAATTGCCAATTTTTTTTATGATGAGATGTTTCTATAATAAGCATTAGAAAATGAAAGGAAGAATAAACAAAATTACTGTCACATTGACCTGGAAAATCCAATTTGAAATTGATAATTGATTGTGGAAATTCACTCTTTCTAAGTTTCTATACTTGATGCCTAGTTTCTACCAATTACCAGTAAACAAAGAAGTTTATGCTCGGCCACTACTTTTTCTTGGAATTTGAACCCTAGTCAACATTCCTGTCAATGTTTGAAAATTAAAAACATAGATGTAAAATGTGGTCAATGTGTATAAGGTGGGTAAGAGCATTCTGTGAGTATTTATAAGGTTCAAGTGTTCCTCTGAATCAGTACCTGACCATCTCAATACTCGCTTTCTTCAGATTCCAGAGCTCCAAACCGAACTGGACCAAACATCACTAAGACTGCAAGCTACTGAGGTGCATCTTAAAGACTTTGGTGCTCTCAAGGTGCAACTCCAGGACAGACATGATGAGGCTGTAAGACTGAAATCACAGATCCAAGATGATAAGTTACAAAGGTAAGTGAGTACTTTACATAAAAATTTAGCTTAGGAAATGTAGTGATGATGTTTGATGATATGCATTGCTCTGGCAGTGATGAGAATTGTAAATTGATTTGTGATGAATGATTATGATTATTTGTAATGACCAATGGTGATTGATTGTGATGACAGAGTGAGGGCTACATGTATTGCCAGTGATATTGGACAGATCGAGCTAGGTGATTATGGATGATGGAGATAGGGATAAACAATGATGGTATATCATTACTACTACCACCACTACCATCATCCTATATCCCTATCATAATAATGATCATAAAAACGGTGCTTATAAAGTGCTTACCATCGAAGTCTCTAAGCGCTATAACAAACAAAATACAATGATTTGATAAACAATTACATATTAAACAAAACAAAAAGAAAATCCAAATGAACCTACAAATTACATATACATTAATGTGAACAGAGTAAGTTAATCATCAAAAACAATTTTGAATATATGTCTCTTAACACAAGTTTTGAATTTTTCTTATTTACTGGGTGTATTAGCCACAAATATGTCTAAATAATTTTTGATTGGTTAACAGTCAGACAGTTTTTGACATTTTAAAGTAGTTTTTTCCAAAGTTCAGCAGAAGCTTTGCAGAAAGAGCGATGACCATAAGAAAGAGTTGACACCGAAGTAGACACCAACATCATAGTATTTCCTTATCTCCATCATCCATCACTCCCATGATTGTTCCATATGGAGATCAAAAGATGAAATTGACTGTTCTAGTGATATTGGGTAATGATCCTCATTTTACTTAGATCTGTGATGACTCAGCAGATAGACGATTTACGCCAGCAGTGCAAGACATCCAGAGACATAGAAGACCAGCTGAGGAAAGAGAACCAGGACCTGAAAGATCAGCTAATAGGAATCCAATCCAAACTCTATCATGCTGAAGATACTAGTAGGAGTGTCAATGATAAGGTAAGAGAACCAGGACCTGAAAGATCAGCTCATAGGAATCCAATCCAAACTCTATCAGGCAGAAGATACTAGTAGGAGTGTCAATGATAAGGTACATGTAATGATGATAGTAATAGACCTGAATTGTTTATGTTTGTTAACTGGCCCCAACCATGACCATTGAAGCTGTATCTAGTTATTCTCATTAGGTGCACTGATTTCTACATATGAGACAAGGGTATACATTGCGCATTATTCACTTTGTACAAACCTAAAACTTGGTTTGTGTTGGTATTAAAGAAAGATATGTAGAATTTCACTTTTTACACCTTTCCATTTTTATACACCAGTTTAAATTTTATGTGACAGTTCATACAAAAGTTATTGCGTAATCTCAAGAACCACCTGAGGTTCATGAACTTCAAACCTGGTGACAATATGTATCACCATAGGAAGACAATCCGATCAAAGGTCAAAGATTATAGTTGACATGTAATTATAGGCTTTTTGTGTTCATCATGATATTTCAAGAATAGTTCCATCCATCTCCTTAACAGTTAAGGGCAGAAGCGAAATAAGAAACTGGAATTGTGGAATGATTTCTACTCTTTTTGTTTTTACATGTTTTTTCAAATTTCCTTTGACGTCTTCTTTTCAATTTGACATCCGAATTTCAAAACATGAATAGAATTGATTTGATTTTCTTCCCCTAACTGTTCTGTAATATTCTTTGATAGATTGGCATCACTTCCCAAATTAAGACAAGAAATTAATGTTTAGCCATTCTCAGTCACATATGTGACTAAAATCCTAAAAAAAAAATCTGTGTAATTTGTCAGTACTTTATATCTTGTAGCAGAAATCTCTCAATTTGGATGTATAGATAGTAATCTTACCACCATCAGAAGAAGGGTATTCACATTCGTGACCAATTTGTTTCACTTTATAAAGAATAGCCCTGTTACTTCTTTGCAGCATAACATGTCAGAGCAGAGCAGATCATCGCTGCTTCAGCAAGTTGGCAACCTCCAAGCAGAGAGGGATAACCTGAGCCAAGAACTAGCCCGTATCTCAGCCCAGCTAGATGCTCAGATACGCAAGTACCAGGACCACAAAAACAATACCAAGATTAAGATGCAACAAGCAAGGTAATGTAAATGTGTTTTGGACAAGTAATCTGAAAGTGGTCTCATGAATAGCAGAAAGAAGAGAGGCCCTTAGGCTCTGTACTGTACTGTACCAACAATTAAGAGCAATACAAAGCTCAAAATGTAAAGGCTAGTTATATAGACCAACTTGTGTTTAGAAAAGCAGGATAATGATACTTTGCATTCATCAAATTAATGGAGCACTACTTCAAAAGCAAAAAAAGTCTGTAAATGTTCACTTTAAGTAAGAATGTCAGGATGTTTATATTTTGTTACAATTAGGTGAGGTGAAGCCCTTTGGTTTCAGACGGTCTATTTCCCAGTTTGTCCAATGCCCATTTCGTCTACTGTGCACAAGGTTTTATAATAATGTGATGATTATAATTACTTATGATTATTAGACCATATGGATAGTAGACGAAATGGGCATTAGACAAACTGGGAATCAGACTAAATGAACAATAGACCGAATGGGTATAGTAGACTTATTGGAGATTATAGACCAAATCGAAATTAGACCAAATGATCAGTAGGGGATTAATAGACCACATGGGTAGTAGACGGTCTAGTGTAGACCATATGGGAGTAGACCAGTTGGGTAGTAGACGGTCTAGTGTAGACCATATGGGAATAGACCAGTTGGGTAGCAGACGGTCTAGTGTAGACCATATGGGAATAGACCAGTTGGGTAGTAGACGGTCTAGTGTAGACCATATGGGAATAGACCACATGGGTAGTAGACGGTCTAGTGTAGACCATATGGGAATAGACCAGTTGGGTAGTAGACGGTCTAGTGTAGACCATATGGGAATAGACCTGTTGGGTAGTAGACGGTCTAGTGTAGACCATATGGGAATAGACCAGTTGGGTAGTCGACGGTCTAGTGTAGACCATATGGGAATAGACCAGTTGGGTAGTAGACGGTCTAGTGTAGACCATATGGGAATAGACCACATGGGTAGTAGGCGGTCTAATGTAGACCATATGGGAATAGACCAGTTGGGTAGTAGGCGGTCTAGTGTAGACCATATGGGAATAGACCAGTTGGGTAGTAGACGGTCTAGTGTAGACCATATGGGAATAGACCAGTTGGGTAGTAGACGGACTGGGTGTAGACCAAATGGAGATAGACCAGTTGGGTAGTAGACGGCCTAGTGTAGACCATATGGGAATAGACCAGTTGGGTAGTAGACGGCCTGGGTGTAGACCATATGGGAATAGACCAGTTGGGTAGTAGACGGTCTAGTGTAGACCATATGGGAATAGACCAGTTGGGTAGTAGACGGACTGGGTGTAGACCAAATGGAGATAGACCAGTTGGGTAGTAGACGGCCTAGTGTAGACCATATGGGAATAGACGAGTTGGGTAGTAGACGGCCTGGGTGTAGACCATATGGGAATAGACCAGTTGGGTAGTAGACGGTCTAGTGTAGACCATATGGGAATAGACCAGTTGGGTAGTAGACGGTCTAGTGTAGACCATATGGGAATAGACCAGTTGGGTAGTCGACGGTCTAGTGTAGACCATATGGGAATAGACCAGTTGGGTAGTAGACGGACTGGGTGTAGACCAAATGGAGATAGACCAGTTGGGTAGTAGACGGCCTAGTGTAGACCATATGGGAATAGACCAGTTGGGTAGTAGACGGCCTGGGTGTAGACCATATGGGAATAGACCAGTTGGGTAGTAGACGGTCTAGTGTAGACCATATGGGAATAGACCAGTTGGGTAGTAGACGGTCTAGTGTAGACCATATGGGAATAGACCAGTTGGGTAGTAGATGAAGTGGTTGTAGACCAAACAGCAATTTACCAAGTGAAGTGCTGTTAAGTGAAGAAAGTTTATTAGGGATGAAAAGTACTTATGACATTTGCACATGTACCGTTATGTACATTTGCTATATGTTATGTACTTTTTCAGTACAAATGTAAGAAGATTCATGGAATTTGTTATACTTTCGAAATGTCATAACTTTGTTAATGTTATTATGGTTGATATGAGCCCATTTCTTCTTTTTGATTTGTAGGGATTTGTTTGCCAAGCAGAAAGGCATGCTGGGTGATAGTCTAATGAAGTTACAGGAAGAATTGAAAGCAGCAAGGTCTGAATTGACAGCGACAAACCATTCCCACTCTACTATGGACAATAAACACCAAACCTTACTCGCAGAACACAGGGAACATCTAACCAAGTAAGTCATCTACCATCATCATCATCTCTTGTTAACTATACTTCCCAATATCTAGCCAGGTCCCTTCCAAAGCATGTTTCCGTCAGCATGTCACAGTGGTAAATGGATGGTCCATGGTCCGAGGGCCCTGCCTGCCTGCACTCAAAGTCTATTGTATCTCCCAATACCTTTCCACATGATTCTTGATATGTTAGATCCTGCAGGGATTGTCGCAGACGGGTCATCATCATTTCAGTTGTCATTTTCAAGTACATTGACGCGCAGTTCTTGGGGGGATAGAGCCTTTTCTCATTCTGGTCCGTCCCTTTGGAATAAGCTGCCACTTAGTATTCATAATTTAACTGCCCTTCATGACTTCAAAGTTGCTCTAAAAACCCATCTCTTTCTAAACAGTGCTATTTAATTATTTCAATGTAGCGTAATAATTTGTGTTGTTTTAGTTTACTTTCATTTTAGTTACGAAAGTGATATGTTTGTGATTGTAATATGTACAGAGCCATGAGCGTCAGAGCCTGGTGGATACCGGCGCTATATAAATATCCATATTATTTATTATTATTATTATTGCTATTGCTATTGTAACTGTCATTGCCGTTGGTATTGCTATTGTTAATTTGCATGACCTTGTCTGTGTACCTGTCCTATCCTTGCAGGTTCACTGAGTTGGAAGAGATGGTAAGAGACCAGAGCCATGGAATCGGTACCCAGGATTATAGGATCAAGTTCCTAGAGAGAGAGAATGGTATGCTTCAGGAGCGCATTGATACACTGTCCAAGCAGAGGATGGCCCTAGAGAAGCTGGTCAGAGAGTACAGGCTGGAGAAGCAGAAGGATGTAGGTTCAGCTTTTCAGTGTCTTACCATTTCTCTCATTTTATGTTTATTTATAAATCATCTATATCAAAGTCAAGCTGAACTTACAGTGTATCATCTCATGAGAATCAGAAGGGCTATTTACCAGTAACAGTTTGTATGTGAATCTGAAGAACCAATCTGAAGAACCAATCTGAAGAACCAATCTGAAGAACCAATCTGAAGAACCAATCTGAAGAACCAATCTGAAGAACCAATCTGAAGAACCAATCTGAAGAACCAATCTGAAGAACCAATCTGGAGAACCAATCTGAAGAACCAATCTGAAGAACCAATCTGAAGAACCAATCTGGAGAACCAATCTGAAGAACCAATCTGAAGAACCAATCTGAAGAACCAATCTGAAGAACCAATCTGAAGAACCAATCTGAAGAACCAATCTGAAGAACCAATCTGAAGAACCAATCTGAAGAACCAATCTGGAGAACCAATCTGAAGAACCAATCTGAAGAACCAATCTGAAGAACCAATCTGAAGAACCAATCTGGAGAACCAATAATGATGCCTTTGCATCAACCTTCACCTTCACATTCACATTCACATTCACATTCACATCGGATGGGTCTAAGGGACCTGACCTATGACGCAAATACAGGGATTTGGGCCGACTATCTCTGTGGCTCAAAACAGAATGAGATGTTAATGTAAAATACATGCATGCTTCAAGTGTGAGCAAACACTACAAAGAACAAGACTAAATGTGTAGGTTGGTGTTAATGTCTCCATTTAACCTGTATGTACCTTTTGATGACGAGGTCAAAAGTACAAGGCCATCTTAGATAAATATCTCAAAGATCGATCCACTACAGTTTCATCAAACCTCATATTCACCTTTACTTATATATGAGGAATGAACAATCACAAGAAGATTTGGGGTCACGGCAGAAGAGAAGAGGAGACAGAAGGCATCCCTGACGTGTTCCACGTTTCAGTACTTTTTTTTGTTTCCTCACTAAGAGTAAAGTTTGAGATATTATTAACAGCATACAGTTTTCTCATTGTCCAGGAATATAAAGTCTATGCAAGACTGTTACCGGTAGTGTAAACAGCCAGAACCAAAATTCACTGCCTAAACTGTCGAAAGCCTGAAATGGCATAGTTGTCGTACATGTACATGTATGTGTATTGCTTTCTCACCCGCATTACGAGGTGCAGGCGAGACAATACTAGTATCTTTTATACACATACTCTTACCTTTATATCAAATTTGCTGTAGATATAAGTAGCTTTGTGTGATACAAAGGAATTCCCATCCATATTTGCTTCATGCAGGAGATCAACCGATCAATAGGTGGGGTACCTAGCTATGGTGGCTACCCTCAGCCATCCATCAAGACATCTCTTAGCAGCGGCATGGGTAACTCAGTCAGGTAAGTAACACTTTACCCTCAAAAAGATATTTCAGGAATCAATACATGAAGAAATACTATAATGGTAACAAATTACTAATGATTATGGATAGGGATTAACACATCTTTTTGTAAACATGTCAACAGTGGTATTATTGTCAGTATATTAGGTTTACGGTTGCACCATGTGAGAGGGAGCATTTGGGAGTCCTGAAAAGAACTATTGGTAATCTTCCTTGCAAGTGTGTTGTTCTGAAAAGGACTGTTAGTAATCTTTCTTGAGTATAGTCCTAAAGAGAACTATAGCACCGGTATGGGTTGTAGTGAGGAGAGGATGGGTGGTAGGAGGGGCTCGACGTTTCAAATGTAATATAATTTAGAAGACAACTTTATAAACTTATCCATACATATGCAATGTACAATTCATGTGTTATTTATTGCTGAAAAACAATGTTAATATTTAAGGGAAAGGATGGGAATGTATCTATATATGTACATGTAAAATGTATGATGCCAGTTTAAAGTGTTTATTTTCTATCTGAAAATTTTATTTTATATTGAGTTTTCCATTCAATGATGTATAATCTGCACAGCACATTAATTCATTTCTTGCTTCTTGTGATGCTTGTGCATGTTTCATAATGTTTGACACTCTTAATAAAGTAATTTTAAAAATTGGAATATAAAACAGGTCTTGGTCTCTAATGATGCACATACTGTGTTAGAGCAGCAATGCAGTTGTGATGAGAATTTGGTTTTAGAGCAAAAAATTATAGCCAATTTTTTTTTTTCTGAGTGGGGAAGGGTAGGAAGCTTGATTGATTTGGATTCTCTTCTAGATGACAGACAGATTTAGATTTCTTTTATGTATTAATATTACCTAAAATTATATGTTTGAGGTAGAGGAATGAATTTGTCCACTTTCTGTTCAAGGGTTTTATTCTAATCTGCCATGTTTCTTTCATTAACAGCAGCAGGTCATCAGTGGATCTTGCGAATGGTCATCATGATGGTCTCCTATCCAAGACTAATCTGACCAATGGATCAGACGTCCATTAATACAGAGCCCAAGTGCTTCTCGACCTGCTCAGTAACGGGAGAAACATGTTAACGCTATAGTCGCTAAACCTAGTGCTTAACCTCGACAAGGGCACTTACTTAACCTATTGTCCACCAAATGGGAAATGAGACTATTATAATGATTGACAGCAGTAAGAGGCCAATAATGAGCAGTTGAGTGGCCAGTCACAGCATAGACAGACTTGCCAAGAACTATAACAGTACATGTATTTCAAAGGAACAAGAAAATGTACTTCAAATTGGACTAGAAACAATGATATACCTGTATGTTGCATCTGAACAATCATAGATTAATTGATGTCGGGCAGTGCTGGAAACTGCTATTTTGCCCCCTATGTTGACCCTAACCCAACTGTAATAGAAAAAATATAGTTATGAGCTCTTAACCCGTTCAGTGCCAAAGATGGTTTACACGGATCAAAATGAAATGTATCCAATAGTGTGCTTTTTTGTCTTGAAATCTAAAATTGGTTCATGATATGTATATGAAATTCTTTGTCAGAGCACTTGGTTTATATGTAGATGATCAATGAAAGAAGCGTTTTGATTGGAGTATTGTCTGACAACACTTTTAATAACTGGTGATACATTTACATGTCTATATTTGTGAAGCTGTTGGCCCTGCTAGGGTTAAAGTAACAAGTGTGAATATTACAAATCATGTGCACAAGAATAATTTGTCGCTGTCTTACACTCAGAAAACAGCTGAATCTCTCTGGACACATATTGGAGAATGCATTGGTGGTATCTTACAGAAATATTTGAGAATGCATTAATGGTTTGCTGGTCAAACTCTTTGAAGGTCGATTAATCCTAACCCTATCATGTCACCTTTTTTTTTACATAGTTAAAATTCCAAACGGTATTGGAACATACCTTGTTAATCCTTATTTTATGGTGGTGTGACCATAGTTCGCTCATGACCTTGATTCCCACACAGTTCCATTCTAGTAAATATCGGTAAGATTTTGAAAAATCTGATACCACCAATGGAAACAGAAACATAAAATTAACTACTAACAAAATTTCCTATGTTATCGGTTGCGAAATTATGATTTAAAAAAGTCAAGAGATCGGCAAATGATTCAGTCTTTTGTGTCCGTTCTGCAAAATTATGAACTTGCCAACAAGGGTTTGGAAATCTGTATTTTAAGAGACGATGTAATCAAAACTGTAAATAGAAAGAAATTTTGCCTTACATTTATGCAATTACCTTACCTTTGACGAATTGCTTTTTATCATAAATCACTTGTAAACTCTCATGCATAACTTATTCTTTACTTGTAGCTCATTCCGGTTCGACAGGGAATTTTGAGATTGTGATATCGCTGGATTGTAGTTGGACAATAAATTTTTCTAGTTGCGCCCATTTTTAGTGTAAATATTTTGCTGTCTATTTGGTAGTAATATATCTTATTGAATTTATGTGAAAAACAAGAAATCATGGATAGAATATCATATTCTTATTTTGTTTAATGTGCATGAACTTTGGTTGCCCTCTCATGTATGTTCATCATCAAGGCTGAAATAATAGACCACATATTACCTGCTAATGTACATAATGCTGCTTAATGTACTTGTACCTGAAAGGTTTTTTTATGTCTAACAATGGAAAAAAAGTATATGTATAGTATAGTATTTGCTGTGATTTAATTTATCGTTATTGTTTTAGGTTTGTTTGTTTTTTGTTTTTTGTCCTCTGCCCAAGGTGGTGCTGGAGGCCTTGTGTTTTCTGTTTTCTTGTCACTCGTCCGTAAATTCATTCCTCTTTTCGCTACTGCGATACTTTTATGATCAGCAGATTTTAATCAGACTGTGATCAAGAACATGTATGTATGAGCATAGAAAGACTAACCGATTAGATTTTTAATGTAAGAGGTCAAAGGTCACATGATCATCAAATTGTCAACAACTACCAGAAAATAGCCTTTTACCACAATAACTTGAAAAGCGTGAAACAAATGCAAACCAAATTTGGTCAAAATATGAATGAGCATGAAAAGATTGAATGAGTTTGTGTTCATGAGGTCAGATGTTAAAGGTCATAAAATCAATCATCAATGAACATACACATCACCAGAGGCAGGAACCAGTCGCATTTATCTTTTTTGTATGCAATGGGAATATATAGTGCATGCATACTATTTTGGCTGGTTTGATTGACAATCTAATTATTCATATTCATGATATATCCAGTTTTTAAGAACTGTTGTGCCAATAGCAGTAACAAGACAATATTAAAGTGTGCTATTGGGAATTAGGTGAATGACAATTTTGAAGTAATATAATTATGCAATTTATATAGTATAATTATGCAATTATAATATAGTATAATAATGCAAAATTATATATCATGCAAGGATTATATGGTAAATGTATGGTTTATATGTTTATAATATGTTGCTTTTTTGTTTTCCAATCATGTGTCGATGCATAATATAATGATAATAGTATTCTGGCTTGATATATACATTGAAGATGTCTTTTAGCTCTTTACAGATATATTATTACCCTAGTCAACATATTTAACAGATCCTCACACAATGTATGCACATTCTCCTCTCCTTGGGGAGCATTCCAGATGGACTATTATATTTATGTACATCATATTTTGATTTTGTTCTCTTTTGCTGGAGAATCCTTGTACTACATTTTTACTCTACTAAGTTTGCCCCACTTGCCTCTTATTTTATTCTCTTTCTCTCTCTCTCTCTCTCCCTCTCACTAACTCAATCTGTATCTCTCTTTCTTCTATAATTATAAACCTTATTTATTTTACCACCTAGTACATGCTACATCGCTACTGTATTTAAAACTTTATTTATTTGCATTCATAAGAGGGTGTCCATGTAAGTTATTGCTCATAGCTTTATAAACAAAGATTGTGTAAGTTGGACCATGGCAAATACTGCTTTGTGAGGCAAGCATACAATAAAGAATGTGCATCAGAGTGTGTCCAACTGATGCAGAGTTGACCAATCTATATGTATAGTTGGCTCTGTTAAAGCTTATGAAATATGGAAAATAATTATCACAGATTTTAAAGGAAAATGAAACTTAACAAACATTAGCTGATAGTCTTATTTGAAATTGTCGGTTAGTTATAACTACATGTAGCTTGAAATTACTCCTTTTGGTTTAGTTAGAAAAGAAAAATAAAGTTTGCAGTTTCCTTTCTAGCTATTCTCCAATCAATTATCATACCCATTGAACTGCTTAGGATAGATATGGTGATACTTATGGTAATGATTGGCTATGGAGCTTTGTCTTACCGAGTAACAACCTATGTATGCCAAATATTGCTTAACAAAAGAAACTGCTCAATAGCTCCAAACAGCTGAATCTTGTCACCATATATGGTGAAAAAATATCCATTTATCTGAATGCATTATCATTATGCTGCATTATTGTAGAGCGCTTAGAGACTTCTGACAAAGTAAGTGTTAGGCGCTATATAAGCACTCTAATTATTATTATTATGGTCTATCGAAACCTGCATTTGACAGGCATGTGTCCTAAATTGTAGCTAAAATACAGGTCAGTTGGTACCTCACAAGTAAATACTCCTCTGACATCACTATATTAATCAAAATGGTGACCCTATTGCACATTTTGGAAATACTGTTGTCCTTGCTGAATAATGAAATGCAAGTAATTTTAAGGTTTTGTTTAACTGGCTGAAAATGTTGAATAGGATTATCAGCTAATGTTTGTTGAGTTTTATATTCCTGTAAGTATTTGACAACACTTTCCACCCCTTGGATTCCTTAGAACTTTGTAAATGTTATTCAGTGCATATTTATGATACTATAACAATTCATTTTTTATGTAGCAATTAGTGGGAGTTTAATGCCTTTTTTTTCACTATATGACTGTACTAAATATGTAAAGGCTTGACATATTCCTTGTTTAGGAATGCTGCAACCAAGCATTAGTGAGATGAACGTCTAAATGTATCATGTCTTAAACTACATGTATTTTATTTTAAAAAATTATTTACAGAGCTGAAATATAAAATATTTTTTATGAGAAAAGTGAATATGTTATACTACAATCTTTCAGAATTTATAGGATAGAAGTTTATGTATTTTGGTACTATTAAAGAAAGTTGTTATCAAATCATGACACTTAAGTTAACAATAATGGCAATAGCAATAATGTATACTAATGACAGCTGTGCGAAAGCCAGGGTAATAATAATGGAGTTTCTGGAGTGGCAAAATTGCTATACAAGACTCCACTATTAATGATAATAATAACAATTATTTAAACAAAAATAATGATAATGATAATGATAATAATAATAATAATAATAATAACAATAATAATAATAATAATAATAATAATGGTAATGATAATAGATATTGTATAGCGCGCAGGTCTGCCACATTGCCACTCCGGATCACTCTAGCACCCTGGCGTAAGCACAGCTGCCAATATCACATGTATGTGACAGACTAAATAAGACATGAACAGACTATAATTTTTCAATCACCCATTGTTCTATAAAGAAATCTGTATGTGGTGACAATAAGAGCTCAAGAATTAATTTCGGCCAGGCTACCTTACCTGGGTAGAGTGGGGCAAATGTAGATTAATGTCTTGTCAAAGGACATTATTAGTGCTGCAACAGGGACGCGAACCCCATACTTTGTGGTTCACAGTCTAGATGTTTATCCACTGGACCACAGCAACTCTCAAAAACATTTCAATCAACTTTCACTTGACACATATTGAAATTAGGGGTGTTGGGGTCGACTGGATGAATCTGTAAACTGTGAATCTTAAGGTAGATGGTTCCCTGTCGCAGAACTAATGTCCTTTGGGAAGACAGCAATCAACATTCTCCACACTCAACCCAGGTCATGGTAATTGGTACCTGGAGTAGGAAAAGGAATGAACAATATTGTGATGCACATCACAGATCACCTTATTTTGTAATCATATTGTATTATCTTTTGTAAACATTTTATACTTGTACCATACACATTTACAGCTTCAGCTTGTATTCTTGTAGAGGATAAAGATAGATATTGTAAACTTAGTCTGATGATCAATGTATGATGTGAATTTAATAAACTTGAATGATTGTTCAACCCAA